TACGACGGATGCGATCGACTCCTTCCCTAATTAAGTAATATCCCACCCGAACGGCCAGGGTCCATTCGGGTCCCACAGTGTGAAATATTGCGTGACTGATATAAGAAAAACGATTAATTGCTTTATGTAATATTGGAAATTATTCTACTATAATTTTAGAATATCAGAGCTTATTCAGTTATAATTTTCAGAGTATTGAAATTTATTCTGTTATATATTCTGTTGTATGTGCGAAATTTATTCCGTTATATATATTAAATCTAAGCTAAAATTCAAAAAAAAAAGATAAATAAATTTGGGTAAAATTCAAAAAAGAAGATAATTAAATTTGGGTAAAATCAAAAAAAAAAGATAATTAAATTCGAAAATATAGAAAGCCATATAAATTATTACAAATTTAATTCGGGTAAAATTCGAAAATATAGAAAACCATATAAACTATTTACAAAAATTTTTAGGAGTTTACTATTCTATAGAATTAAATGTTGTTTTTTTAAGTATATACTTCGTATCAGAAGTACACTGACTCAAGTCTTTAGGAATAGTGTTTGCTTCAGGACGAATTTCTGGGTCTTCATTCCAGCAACGCTCATAAAGTTCAACGAATTTCAATGGAGAATTTTTCACAGGAGTTTCTCTATTTCCTTTTTGTGTACTGAGAATAATTTCGAGAACTGTCATGGTTTTGAATGGCCTATGACCACTAGAAATTTCCCAATAAATGACACCTAAACCATAGATGTCAGATTTTTTTGTAAATTTATATGGAAATTCTTTTAAGGCCTGAGGATCGACGAATGCCGGCATTCCATATATACCATAATCAATAAAATTTGAATCCGTATCAAAAATCGATAGGCCGAAATCGGCAATTAGCATTCTTTCTTCGTGAACTAAGATGTTCTTAATATGCTGCAAAATACAATTGGCAACAAAAATTAACAAGTTATCTAGATTATACAGTATTTTATGGTGATGCCTAATATAAATAGATCATAATACATCAAACAGTAAAATACGTGACAGCATTAATTTTGTTTAATATGTTTAATATGACTTACAAGATCTCTATGAATAATGTCGTGTTTATGTAAGAACACGAGGCCCAGTGCAATTTCTTTAGCAATACGCAATTTATCAGTCCATCGGAGCTCTAAAAATTTCTTTTTTAAATATTGTTCCAAATTTCCTTCCTCAGCAAACTGCAAAACCATATTGTACTCCCCAGTTGGGTCTGCATCGTGTAGATTTAAATTAACGTTGAATTATATTTAAATAATATATAAAAAATAAACTCTAATTAGTATATAAAAATAAACTCCAATTACTCACTTTTGGTTATAGCATAAAACTATATTATGTGTGGATGGAAAAAAACTTTGCGCAGAACTATAAACTCCTGTATGATCTTAAGACTGTTAGCTTTCAGGCTTTTAATGGCAACCATAATTCCACACTCTTTCCACTCGGCTTTATATACATTTCCAAATCTACCTTCATTAATTTTCTCAGGATCAGTGAATTCATTATAATCATAGAAATTAATATGACCATCTAGAATAGCCTTTTCAAGCCATATTGTTGAAGAGGTTAAAGAATCGGTAGCATGTGAACGTATAGCTCGTTCAGTCGACAATATTTGATTTTGAAATACATTTTGAAAGCCATTTTGATCATTATTTGAGCTTTTAGTGGTTTCTAGATGTAATGGAAAAGTTATCTCTTTATCAAATAATTGCCCAAGAATGTCATTTTGTTGAATCATTTTCAAGTGTGAAGGCAAGAAATTTTTTTTCGTGTAACAGTAAATTTCAAAGGTTTCACGGATTTCTTTGAACATGCATTGACTCATCCCGATTGAGACATCAACATTTGATTTCTGAAGTTGAATATCGAGGCTAGCACGTGTTTCCAAAAGATCATTAAAGCACAGAGCAGTTATTAGTGAGTTAGTTCCAAATTTTCGAAGTACCCACTTATAAAATTTGGTCGATGAAGCAAGTGGCTTTATATGAATATCAGAGATGATAATTGATGCATTACTCAAATTATTAAATGCTCTATTGAATTCACACTCAGCTTTATCCGGAATGAACGAGTATATGAAGTCCCAAACATTCACCTTGTATGTACGCTCAGGTCTTAATGTCTCGATTAAACAGTGATATAGAAACGTGTCGGGGACTTCTTGTTTGACATGTAAAAATGATCCCATTAATATGTTACCTATATTATCTAATCTATCTTCAAATAAATGTAAAGCATCTGCTATAACATTATAATTTAATTGAAAGCCAAGATTTAATAATTCGTTGAGTGTATTATTAACATCTTGTACACTTGGTTTTTTCCATTCTGTTGAAGGAGTAGGAGGAAAAAGAATCAAAAGTGCGCCTTGCATTACAAGATTATTAACTTCATTACAGATTTCATAGTAGCCAATTTGTTTCCATAAGTTAACTAAATCTTTATGGATCAATATTGCACGTTCAGTGATGTTGAGCTGACGATTACTCTCAAAACCATCATTAGGTGCACATTCTTCCGAATTAAATTGCTCATGATATGAATCGATCTTTTTTCTCTTAGGTATTGGAGGAAATGGGATAAATTTCTTGTTTAGAGTCAAATCTCTGATGGGATCCAAATTTTTACATAAAATATTTAATGTTTTAACTAAACAGTGATATAGAAACGTTTCGGAGACTTCCAGTTTGATTTGTAAAAATGATTCCATTAATATGTTACTTATACCATTTAATCTATGTTCAAATAAATGTAAAGCATCTGTTATAGCATTATAATTTAATTGAAAGCCAAGATTTAATAGTTTGGTGAGTCTCTTTTTAATATATCGTACATTTTGTTTTTTCTGTTCTGGTGAGAGCATAGGCGGAAAAAGAATCAAAAGTGCGCCCTGTATTACATGATTATTAACTTCATTACAGATTTCAGAGTAGCCAATTTGTTTCCATAAGTTAACTAAATCTTTATGGATCAACTGACGGTTGTTCTCATAACTGTCCTTGGATGGATATTCTTCCGAGTTGATTTGTACGCGATATGAATTAAACTTTCTCTGGGGTCGTGGAGGAAAGGGAATACGTTTCGTATTTAAAATCAAACTCCTGACGGAATTCATATTTTTACGTAAAATATCTCGGATATGATTTATTACGTGTGGACCTCCCGAAAGAAAATGAAAGAGTTCCATATCGTTACCTTTCGTGCAGAGGTCCTCTTTTTCTAATTGCTGCTGTGCTTCAGTCATTAGGTAAGTAAAAACAGGTATTTGCAGGTTGCTAGCCCTTGATGGAACCTTATGTTTCATTCTACTAATATCTGCTTGACCAATCATATTATAGGCAATTTTCAATTTGAGTAACTGTTGGTCAGGTTTGCCAAAGTTTATAAGGAGCTTTTGAACGAAATATCGCGATAAAATAGCTTTTTTCGCAACGATAGCTTTTGTTACTGGAAGATTAATAAATGATGGTCCTAATCTTATTGCATGTAAGGCATGAGCTCTTCCATATTGACAGATAATCCAATCTGCTCTCGCCTGGTCATCTCTCGGAATAATAGGAAACTGCATACAACTATCAGCAAAATTTTTTGGTGAAATTATAAATTTAAAAATATTTATTAATATTTCATTTCTAACATTTAAAATGTTAACGACAGGGCTAAAAGAATGCCCATCTGTATTCAAAGACTCTTTTCTTGGAATATACATGGTGTACTGTACTGAAGATAATTTAGTACTGTATTCATGCAGAATTTTGAAATGATGTGATACAGTACGAATATGCGTAGTATATGAAGTAATTTAGTTATGCAAAATGTCGAAATGATACGATACAGTACATCGGTTATGGTAATGCAATAAGCGATTAGAGTCTTTGGTACTAGTTTGTATAGAATTTGAAGCAAAAATAACAGTAAATACGTATGTAAGGTACACGTTGTACATAACACTTCGCTGTAATGTTACACAATCATCATAACACAACACAATTATTACATATTGTATCACACAAATGAAATAAATTATAGCCAAAACGTATTTTATACACAAATTTGGTCAAATGTTGGTTTGTACATACAAAGCCAATCCATTAGTTCATACGATGAATGGGATTACCTGTTCAAATATAGTTGGAGGTAGTGTTCCGAGTTGTTAAAAATTTTTCCAATCGATTAGTTGTAACTTATCGATTTTTCCTATCATGTGACTAAATTTGTTGATTGACCAATCAAACTAAAGAAATCAACACGAACCAGCCCGGATAGATGGAATATCTCGGGATTTAATTAGTTGATGATTTATCGATTAGTGTTGATGATTTATCGATTAGTTGTTTCGAAAATTTCCAAATCGATTAGTTGGAAAGTTGTCGACTAGTTGATTTTTCAACTAACGATTATGCGCATTTTATACGCATTTTATATATCATGTGTATTAATGCGGATTTATGCGTATTGTGAGCGGTGATCGATGGTCAATTAACGGCTATGTCGATCACCTACCTAATATGGAGGTCGTCTAAAGCGGAGGCAAATCACATGATTAACAGCCAATCAAATTATAGAGATTTGATGATCGCCGGCGAAAAAAAACAAGAAATAAAAACCAAAAACCCGAAAGATACAAAAAACAGCAGTCTAAACCTGCCTTGGATAGGTTACTTAAAAATGTTGGGAACGCAAGTTTGCATATATATAACTACCTAAAACCTAAACTAACCTTGATATAGGAGACCCTAACCCTAAAGTTAATGGAAAACTTTATTGCCTCCGCTTTAGACGTCCCCCTTATACTTGTTGGCAAAATCCCAAACTATTATAAAATTAGTTTGTCCATGCCCAAATCCCAAACTCTGGCCAAATTCA